AGGTTTTTTTGTTTTTTTTTCGTATGCCCCTCACTTGGATGAGATTAACTTATGCAAGGTGTGTATAGTAGTCATTACATGGATTTTTTTAGAATAATTCAAGTGGCACCAATAAGCCTATTATGTTAGACAAAATCGTGTTCATGTATCTTACGGAATTAATGTCCGGTAGAGTTTGTCCATGTACTCCCTGAATTTGATATCCCTTTGAAATTCTAAAACTATTGCGAGCGATATTGTTTGTTGGAATTATAAAAAAGTCAGATCGGAGATTCTGACTTGGTTGATGCCTTCAAGATTTACTTTCCGGTATAGTACCTAGATTCATTGATGGATCATTACCGTGACGGGAATAAATGCAGTATCTTGAATTATGCGATGCCTTTACAACTTCCATGCCTGAACAGCCACTGTGACAGTGCATGCCAGATATCCACCGCTTGAAAATAAACTACCTGATATTAAATTTGCCTACGTGCCACCCGAAACCATTACGTTAACTAAACCGAGATATTCAACTTTGCAGATGTATTTTAGATACATGTGATCATCGTCACATCTGAGAATCGATTGGTTTATCATGGTGGGAAGGAAAGTTTATTGATTTGATGATGACGATGATTATCCTTGTCATTATTATTTTTCATTTTGTTATTTGTATTAGTAGTAGTAGAACGGTATTAAAACACTTGCTCAGAAACCTGTCCGCGGAAGTGCAAATCGTCACCAACATTAGTGAGTTTTAACTACGACACATTTCCCGTTTATCATTTTTTTACTTCCCGAGTCAGTTGAACGTGTCTTGTTAGTTTTAACCATCATTACGTGTACTTTGCAAATACACTCCTGGACACAGGGAGATGGTCCCTGTTCAGAATGTGTAAAATAGGTGTGTCATTAATGCTGTCGAGCTTTATCTCAGTCACGTCTACCTTCAAACCTTTATTCATTCCTATTAGGCTACGGATGTTGTCTTTTAAAGAGGATATGACCTTCCGCGCATTCCTGGTGTTGTAATGGTTTTTTGTGCTCAGTGGTAAATAGCTGTTCGTGGATAAATCGAAGTGAGTACACTCCTCGAATGCAGTTTAAACCGTGTAGGTTGGGATTCTTCTTTCAAGATCGCTGTTTTGTGGATGTCGATTTCATTGTAGCATTAAAAAAGCGTGCTAACCCGTGTATCACCGACCTAACACATGATAGAAACGGTTATAGATTCATTTTTTTGAGTAAGCGAATGCTTTCAATAATTAAACCATAAATGATCGTTTTACAAAATGTTTACGCGCGGTGAATACCGAAACAGACCAAGGAAATGTAGAAGCAAACGCTTAAGTATTGATAAGATTGTAAGTGGACTCCAGTCACCGGCCAAATATCACACCCATTAATATGAAGCGAGGTAGGAAAAGTTGTAATTTATTTTTCAATTCAATTTCAGTGAATACAGAAAAAGGATCAATTTCATGCAAAAGAGCATTTTGGCAATAAGAGAAGTACATTTCTAGCTCTAAAAAAGTTACAGTGGCATATTAAAATGAAACGAATTATGTCAATTGTAAAGAAGAACTACAAAGGCACAGTAACTTCCGTTGCTTGAATACCCTCATTCTTGAGCTCTTCGAGAATTGGCTCATAAATGTCAGAGGTTAGGGGCAGTACATAGCCCTTCCTCTGGATTTTTCCGTCTAGAATCATGCGTGCTGCGATGGCAGCGGGAATGCCGACAGTGCGGGACATGGCCAAGCCTGCCTTGCCTTTACCGGCTTCACCGTAGACCACAAGCCTCACCACTCGCAGCTCGCGCCTTTTATCGGGCCACTCGATGCCAATCTGGTGTGACATGACGATTAAGTCGCGTTCGTTTGGACCTGCAGGCATTGAAAAAAGAGTCTTGTTCAGTGAAACACACACACACACACACGTATATTCCTTGATTGTCCCTTCTACGGCTAAGTCAATGTATTCACTCAGAGACAAGAGTAACGTAAGGATTCTAACGTACCGTATGCCATAATGTCGGCGAAATGCTGTGAAATAGTAGCAAATGGAGACCCCTTCAGTTCAGCCACTTTGTCCGAAAGAATCTCAAGTCTGAATGCAATAATGGCTTACTTTGAATTGCAACGTCAATAACCAACAATAGACGATGTTTATTAAAAGCCGTAAACGGTCTGAAACCAGTTCAAGTCAAAACAAATAACATGTTGAGGTTTTACGACAAGTTGGAGAATCCTAAACAACAGTAGAACGACATTAATTTCACGTGCTACTGGGTGGTTTTTTAAAGAACTGTGGTATGTAAGATGACCCGGCGTGTATTCGATCGAATTGGCCTTCGCTAATGGCACGGGAAACAATACGTCGCCAAATCAACAGATGGTGGTAAAGAACTATTTGATTTCATGTCACCTGAACAAATGCTAACTAGCAAATCAGCCAAAAACCTTTATCAAGTTCAGCATCACTGTGTTTTGCAAATGCGTTCGACATGTCAATGGCCTCAAATGAGTCAAACTGAGTCCTCCTTATCTACTTGTTTTGAAGTGAGATCTGACATCTAGCTAATAAAGGTTCTTTCTCCATAAACACGGCTATCGTCCTCGGTTATTAAGCACGTGAATATAAGCTATCATATCACAGAATAATCCGAGATAATCCCGAATCAAAAGCACAAGCTTACTTTAAAATATCTTGGACAACCTCTTCAGACGTATTCAGTTTGGCACGAATGGCATCAGCTGCTGTCTTTGTGCTTGAAGTTGGATCAATGCCAAGGATTGTGCAAGTAACCTCATGCTACAATTTCAAATGGACAATATTAATTTCTTAAACATTGGGATAAAATTATGCGCATTAGCCATTTGAGCTACCCATGTCAAACTCGGAGCTCCGGGAGCCAACTTCGGGTGCTCCTTGGTGTCCATGAAGCCCAGGTTTATAAGTGCCCGAACAACTTTTGCAAAGCCCTTGTAACGTATTGTGCCACGGATAACTGTTTCACAGTCCTTTAGCTTATAGACGTCTTTGTAGCTTATTGAATCGCGGTTGGGGTAGCTTTCCAGGTTGAATCCAATTAGATCATTCATTCTCTGTGCCGCGTCCATCAGATCGCCACCTGCGGCAATCTCCTTCCTCTTGCCGTCTTCCAGGTAGAGAGCAGAATTCAGGACCGTGGACATTGCAGCTTCTGGACTCCAGCTGAACTTGTATCGGAGAGGATTATCGGCGAATTCGGGTGCTGGAAGGCCACCCGTATAGGATTTGTAGGAAATGACTTTGCCACCCCTCCTGTAGACCTCATCGAAACACTCCATCGCGAGCATGTGATCGATGCCTGGATCAAGTCCCATTTCCATGACCCCGATTATTCCAGCATTTTCGATGCTGTAGAAAGAACACAAAATACCCATACAGCCTCTTTGTCGTAAAAGACGTTCGATCCCTTTCGGAGAAGCTGATCAACACGCAATAAATATTGTCTGCACTACAGTTAGGAAAAGCAACTAAGCATTATTGATCAAAACACTTGCAGACACAGCTGACACATTCCACAAATTATACTCCATACTTCAAAAACTGTCTTTCCAGAGCAACGTGAAATAGATTCAAGCAAACCGCTCAGTCTCTTGTGAAATAAGTTTTGCACTATCAAGGAAGTAAGCATGCTATTAGTGTGGTCTATTTTCTGTAATATCAAGGATACTTCTAATTACATGTGCTTACGCGGTTTCGAGTTTGCGAAGCTCAGGAGAGCAGTAGCTTGCCGTAAGGAAGTTCTTCTTGTGAGCAATGCAAGCGTTGATGACCTTTGTATGGAATTTCCAGGGTGTCATGATCACGACCAAATCATGTCTACTTATTAATTTCCCAAGACATTCGTCTTCAGCAACCTCGTCAACTTTGGCCACACTAGCCCGTGGGAAGTACTTCTTAATGTACTCAAGATCAGAGACGAGATTTGAAACTAGAAAATAAACGAAGAACATCAAGCGAAAAAGTATCCAAAATTTCTTCAAGGAATCATTACCGATTCAACCAATATACTCACCAACAGTCACTGACGTATTAGGATCGCGAATCAGGTATCCGACAATCGACGGAACAACGAAACCCGCACCAAGAATCAGAACCTTGTGACCTCTCGCCTCATTCTGCCTACGCAGTGTGTCAATGTATTGAAAACGTGGGGTAAGTCTGCCGTTTGAGGCAATAACAGCCTAAACGAACATTTGTAATGACGAAACACTGACTAAAAGCTTACATTCTTTATAACAGGACTGGCTTTATAACATTCGAATGGTTCTGTTGCATCAGATGCCAGCTAAAAGTACAACATTATCAGGGAGGTAAAGAACCTACGAAAGAATCAATATACGGCATCAGCCTATCACCGAAGTAGTTGGAGGCTTCAACGGGAATTTGACTGGGCATGTTATCAATGGAGCAGACAAGAAAGCCCTCTCCGGCAATGCTAGGAGACAAAAGGTGCGTATTGAGCAAGCGGTCGGAAAACTGGCCACACATAAAGGAAATTCAACTTGCCCAGTTGTAGCTCTCCTCGTCAGTGGGTTGAAGACTTCAAAGGGCTTTTCGATTGTCGTGCACTCCTGCATGAACTGCAGCGAACCATTCGGGTCGGCAGAGATATCGCACACAGCAATTAACCGCTGGGGCAGTGGGGGGCATCCTATCACGTTCGAACCAAAACAACTGCTTTCTAACGGGCCTTTAAAACATTCGTTACACTAAAGCTATGGTGCCGACTTTGTATTTAATAACTACCTGGGGGATATTCGAACTTGCCTAACGTATTCATATGAATAAAGATAGAGATCATTTTACTGTCATTCAGTGACTTCCGATTGTGCGATCTAATCATTTGTAAGTGTGTCGATAAGCAGGGGCTCAAACATGAATGTCTAAGCATTCCTAATGAGCAGACGATATTTAACCCCTTACCTCCCCGCACACAGAAACAATGTGGCGCTAACGAAGTAGAAAGGTTTGCAGGCGCATTTGGAACATTGCTTACCTTCAGAAGTTCCTGGCCGAGGTGTGGGCTTTGCGTTTTGCATAAGCCACTCACAGTCCTCGTAGGTAAGCATTCGGGGATCGTTAACACCCCAGTAAATGCCATTAATCATGACTGACATGTAGGGAGCGATTTCCTTGGCGAACACGCTCTTATAATTTTGTGGATTCGATCTGAAATCCTTCATGTCGAACTTCCCTGTCTCCTTGTGCCTCAAGTGGTCCGGCTCACCAACCTCCACTCCGTAGACGATGTCGGTGCCTGAAGCAAACCAAGACCACCCCTACATTTACTCATGGTCTGTCACACTACTTCAAGGCTGCTCAACTAGGCTGAGCTCTCTGTCACGCAATTTACAGCAGATAACCTTTATCATGGTTCAAGGCTGTCTATCGGATCATCTTCTAAGCTTATTTTTCATGCAAGCCCTGATCTTCAAGCAAACTTTGGGAATTTGCCATCTTCTTCGCAAACTGGGAACCTAGGCCAACCAAATGGCCTAGTTGAATGCTCAGAGAACTTACGGCCGTTTGTGGCAATTTCCTTCATTTCGGCAGGAGTAATGTACTTGTGAGGCAAGAGGCGAAACAGTTCTTGGGCCCCCTTGCTGACGTTTCCATAGCCCGTGAAGAGGAAGATGAGGGGTCCGATGGAACTAGGCATCTTGTTCATAGCGATCTCGTAGCCTGTGTTCTTTATAGCCTGCTTGGCCATCTCCAAAGACGAGTAGGTTTGGGGCATTGCAATTGTCTAAGTAAAAAACCATGAAACAAACAGGTTTTTGTTGAAAGATGACTATTTCTGTAGGATAAATTGAGTCCTGTGGTGAGAATTGTTCGGTTGTGCAAACTGCTGTCAATGTCCAACAATTTTCCCACAAGATCATTCAATTAAAAGCAAAGACCAATTACCATGAATGGAGTTGTGTAGCCGAGAGCAAGGAGACGTTGTCCCAATCCATGGAGGGCATTAACCATGCCCGAGTATCCAGCAAACTTTCCGAACGCGAGCACTCGCCTGTCGTTCTCATCCACCATGCATTCATAATCTACTATGCGGATATTCTACGCAAACAAAGCGAAGGTAGGAAATATAGCATTGTAGGCTATTAAAACAAGGCGAACAGACAAGCACCACTCACACGTTCAAGCAGAGTGTCCAGCAGTTCCATGTTGTCTTCCTGGGCCTTAATAGTATGAGTAAAGAAGGCGTACGTTTTGTTGGGAATCAGAGATTCGGTTGTGAGTTGACACGGTCGCTTAACCCCCATAATGACAGATGCTTCGCTGAGGTCTTCCTTCACCTCCGCTCCAGCCTCAACGTACTCAGACTGGGCAAAAATTCGTCTGTCCGAGGGTTGGACAAGCACCCGAATTCCCTTACGAACGAGGGTGGACACGTGGTCGGGTGTGAGAACAGCTCGGCGTTCCCATGGGTTGACAGTTTCTCGAGGAATACCGACGACAACCTGGTTAGGAGCCATGTTATTTGGTAGAAGTTTGCAATGTAGATTAGTCTGAGCTATCAAGTAAAACATCAGGGTTTAAATAATCTTCACCACGTTTGTTTATTGGTGCTTTCAAGGTCAGTACAAGCGAACACTCAACCTCGGCACGCCCCAATGCCATCCTGTTTGTGACACTTGAATGCGCTCATATGTGAATACAAGTATTAATTTCTTTAAAAATTTTGATGATTCTCACAGATTAAGACAGCTTATTACTTTTGTTGTTTTAAATTAAACCGACATATTTTGAAGTGTGTTTTAAGATCAGTGCAGTTAAATTCTTAACGAAATGTGATTTTACTGGCATTCAGGCGACTGACAAATTTATTGCGCACCTGCAGCATTTTAGTAAAATAGTTACTTATGTATATATTGTAATTGTTAAATCACTTCAAAATTATCGCTCATGCAGTTTTCCCGTCTTATTTGCAAGATGGCTTATCCGACTATTTAAATGAACTGTTTTAATTTAAACACAAAAGGAACTTAAAGCGCATTTAATTACGATATAGGTTTCTCCAGGATAGTTTTCTCCCATTTAAATTACCGTATGTGGTGAACAAATATGTTAATCAACGAAGCCACCAACCTGTCCTAAACTTTTTTAGCAAAACCTTTGGGATTACATTTAGCCTTAAAGAGAGTTACGTGGGTCCTTACTGCTCGCTTCGTTCATTCGAGTCGCACACTTAATGATCTACCATGTTATTATTTCTTGTTGTGCCCTGATTCCAGGCAGCCATACTACGAGTGGTGCAGCTGAACTATTAAAAGGTATTCTTGAAAAAGTCAAAAGTCAGTTAAAAGTATTAGAAATCCTTTCAAACTTCATGTTTGTTGATCCTATAAAAAATCCCGATAAAACCGCTGATCTATGTATACAGCATTATTAGCAGGCATTTCAAGGAAATATTTGCAACTGACCAACTTCTACTTGTATGCAACTCTCAGTCTGGTTTGGGAAATGTTGAAGTGGGTTTCGAGGGTCTCAGACACGGCACGTTCAAGTTTACCGAGTTTGCGCGTTATTTTAGGTAAGCGTCGTCGTTAATGTAGTCATTTTGCGTGCAGAATCACGGAATTTAGCATTGTTATCTCATAATTCCAGCCAGAAAAAAAGAAATAAAGCTACTTTTACTATATGACTATCTTTGGAACTCCGTACAAAATCTGTAGGAAGCTGATAGTATTTATACGAATCAAAATCCCTAATTATATACACACACGGCCACTGGGGTTTGTGCCAACGATAAATGCTATGGTTTACACATAAACTTTCTCCCCACTTGCGTATCAGTAATAAATAAAAGGCAAATTGAAAGTAGTGGAATAACCCTCACATGCACGGCATTTTAATTATTGACAACTTATCGCATCCAATGAGGGTCAACAACGGAAATTAAATCGCCTCAACGTCTGACCCCATATCTGTGCCAAAGGCGAAGGACCGAGTGGCAGTATAGCTGCATTATAAACATGTCATGGTCATCTGGTTTTTTCAATTGTCATGCACATTTTAAAATCGTTGTCTTTACAGAAATCTTTGCTTTGGAAGCTGTAACCACTTTGATATTAAAACAACAATTAAAAAAAATCATTTCGGGTGTGGCAATCTCTCTGAAGGTGCCACTTCCGCTTTCATTGTTTTTTGTTACTGATGCTCGTATCAAGGCATCAGATACATCGTAGATAGCGATACACCCTACAAACGGGGCGGAGGTTTTGATTTACGCTCTAAATGATACTCATTTTGTCTGGGCGTTGTTAAGGCATTGTATGTATCATAAATTTGTCTCGATTTTGTGGCTTCTCACAACTGTGGATTGCAATACAGAAATTTAGACATTCAAATGCTGCGATTATTTTAAAAAGTTGTCTCTTGCTGTGGTTTATTCCATCGTATTACAAGCCCTATTCGCAAAATGAAAATCAGTATTATTAAGTGTCTGTTACTCGAGTCAATCTATTTCAGGTTAGCTATGTTAACTTAAATGCGCATTTAAAACCCCTTGTTTGTGCATGACTAGTTGAACCGCCATATCAGAAATAACAACCGTGATAATTCAAGTCCCATTCCTTGTAAAATTAGAGCCGGATGCGTTCAAATATTCACATCATGAAACAAGTGGTTTGGATTCAACATAGCCCCAAAATATGCATATTTCCACCTCATTTCGAAGCTTAATTTATAACTTTTTATCCTTATTGAAGCAGAATAAGGTGTGGTGCTACTAATTTAATTAAGCAGCTAGAATAATTAAATTCGTTATTTTTGTTATGCATTGAGGACAACAAATGCACCGTGATTTACGCATTGTCGATAAGACGAACGACTTATACTACGATTCACCTTCGCATTGTTGTTTGACACCAAAATTTGCATTTATTTATGAAAATAAATGAATTGCACCCTAAACTGTGGAACAAAGTCGACGGGTTTATAGCATAATCCAAGTTCCCCTCTTTGTCTTGAATAGCGTTGGTTTATTTAAGATTATCACTAATCGATATTTCTTAACAGAAAAATAAAAAAAAACTACTTAAAAGCAAACTGAGTCATTGAAGACTCTAGCAGATTGATGCAATGTGTGTTTACCACAAGTGGTGTGAGCAAGATAAATTTGGGGCTGAATCTTGAGGCAAATTCGAATTCAGAAGAGGAAACCTTTGCATGACCGTATTAACATTTAAGAGTCAAAAGACAACGACTTCAATTTAATATATTGAAGAATAGATTTCTGTACTTTTTGTAATGAAGCATTGTGCAACTTTGGTCCAAAGTGCGATATTACTCAAATAACTCACGCCAGTGAAAGAAAGTATACGCAGTTCTTGTTTTTGTGGCCTCGATTCGTGTGCTAAGATCAACACACCAAACAAAAGTGGATCGGAGTGTTACGAAGAATATTCGTTTTTTCCTTAAAGTAAATATGATCGCAGAACACGTATAAATAATTAATAGGTTTAAAAGTGGGACATCCTGACTTAAAGTCACGCTCGCTGGATGCACAACTTCATGAAGGCCCCTCACGGGGAGAAAACGAACAGTAAAACAAAGAAAGCAGGTCAAAGTAAATAGGCAACACAGGATTCAGAGCAAAGAAAGTGGAAACTGATAAAGAAATTAGGAGAGATTGTCGGGACAACCAATGATTTGATTTCTTCTATATATTTCTTTCATGAATATGCATTTTGTTTTTCCACAAACTGCAATTTTCTGCATGACGGAGCAAAAGACAGAGAAGTAGAGAAATTGACAACAACTGTTTGGATTCTTTCTAGTGATTCCTTCAGAGCATCCATTTTCCAGAAAAACATTAGCTTTATTTGATATATGGTTGGCAATTTGTTAGATTATTGAAAGCTGCTACTTAAATGTTGGCATCGCTGTATACCAGTGAATGAGTTAGAGTCTTTTGGATACAGGCCTCCTCGAATGTTTATTCGTTCCCCCATCCGACATGTGCTCTACCATCCTTAAGCGGCGTCAAAATTCATTTAGAGCCCTGATTATTCTTCCCGTTGCCGTCTTTTGGGACTCTTTTGCACTACGCCGCTATTTCTATAATCGTGTCTTACAGCTACAGTCTAATGAATTCTATTGGGTGCTAGCAAATTTGTGTGATGGATGACTAATGTAGTTGTTTTGAGAGCCTTGACAATCCAGTGTTGCTGGCCCCACACCTTGAGATTGTACTCAAAATCGACAATATCTGTGCATAGGGAAGCAGGTGGTACATCCTAAGACTCGTCAAATCTCCCCAATCGTTGCGCATAACCAAATATTCACCTCACTTGGTTAGCAATCACCACACTCCGAAGACAATTTCCGTACCGTCATTATTTGTTTTAGCACCAACGAGAATTAAGTTATGGTAGTAATACATTTACAAATACTTTTTCAAGTTAATCTTTCTTTGAATAGCGGATATATTTAACAGTGTAATTTTTCATCGATGTCATCAAAGGGCTGTGTTTGTGTGTGATACGGTCCTTTGCATTTACAAATGGTGGAATTGCGAGTAGATCTCTAGTTATGCGCATTGTGATTGCCCACCAAACAACGCCAACACTGCTATGTTCATGAATCATGGACAAACTTTTTTCGAGTTAAAAGGACTGAAAATTACGCACCTGTCTTTACGATGACCCATTCCGTAAAATCAAACAGCGAGACAAAATCGATGGATCACTTTGGTCTTAATCGCTTGTGTTCCATGCGTATACTTTTTGGTAGCGACTAGCTCGTTCTTACTTTGAGTTAAATATAATTTACCAAGCCTGGAATAGGCGATTTTAGAACGTTCTCCCACGAATGTAGATAAATAACCTAAACTTGGTACTATTTTTGCTTCTGTTTTTTACTAGACACCTTAGTCAACTTGAACTGCAGTTGAATTGGCAGGAAAATCCAACTGGGAATAGTTGGTAGAGCAGGCTTTGCTGATAGCTTAATTTTAAATCGGCTTTTCCCTGAAGTCAATTTACAGGCAAGGCAGTGAGCACAAGCTGCTGTATCTCTGGAGTATTCTTACAGTTTGAATGTTTCTGAAAGGAACTCGCTCTATATTAGAAAAAAACAGAACTTTACTCCTAGTTTCTACGCTTCAGTGATGGAGCGTAGCCAGGCACTTGAATTAAGTATATGTCAAGTCAAACACATCGTAGCCTGCAGGCGGTGTGTGTTTTACTGAGTCAACGAGTGTTTCAAACGCTGAGAATGCTTTTTTCCTTAATTGTTACTTAAATTAGGTTGTTAGATAGAGTTCATAACGACGCAGCCGATCTTGGCCTAATAAACCCCACAAAAGTAGGTTGAACTTATTAATTTAGAAGTAGTTCCTAAACAAACCTGCATTAGATTGACTTTGTACGGAAATCAGTGGTACTCGTTAGTAAAGAGGTAAAATGTTTACTTTTGGCAAACAGGATCCTCATGCAGTCCTCTATGTGCTTTTATGTTCATTGGTTCAATGTTAGCTGTTTTCACTAACGTTAGTGCCTGTAGCTTGGAATAATACCTTTCGCAA